TCCGGGGGTGGTACGACTATACCCGTTTCACCGGTCGTGGGTGGTGGGACGTGGGGGGTGTTAACATCGGGGTTGACGCCCAACTTTTGGCCCGCCGTGGCTATGACTATTTCGTTGTTGTAGCCCACCACTTTTTTTACTCTCAGTTGCATATTGCTCGGAGCCATGTACAGTCCCACGTCGAAGACGTAGTCGACTTTCGACCTGGCGTATTCCAACACGTCTTGGTAGCGTTTGATGGCACTCGGGAGATCAACTGGAGAATTGATAGCATCCTCAACGTTAACAACGAACTGTTTCTGAGCGTCGTAAGCAGTCCCCTTACCGAGGATGTTGGAACGCGTTTGCGTCTGCACACCCAACAGCGCCCACACGTACGTTCGAATCGAGTCGTTCAACCTGATTACCCCGGCACGAGTAAACCCTCTCGACATGTCCAACATGAACTTTTTCCAGTCATCCGCTGCCCCCTGCTCGAACCTCCAGACTCGGTAATCCTTGCTGTTGTTGAAAGCCATGTAACGGTCATCCCACTCGTTCGTTGTGAGGTGATGATACGACTTGTAACCCCATTCTTTCATCTTCTCGCTGGCATCCACGAGGGGCATGTTGTGAACGATGGGGATACCCAACCCGTGGTTCGGTCCCGGCAAACGCCAATCCGTCTTCGGGTCTAGTTCGAATTCGTTGCAAACGCGTTCATAGGCCCGTCTATCGTACTGGTTGTTTACTGCGTCCCATGCTTTGTCCTGTGGGATCGGAGCGCTGATCTCTTTGAGGATACGCCTGACCTGGTAGTACACGTGGAACGTGAACACAGACTGACTCAGCGGCCCACGCCGAGTGTCGGTCAATGTCACACCACACCCCGTTGTAGCGCACCACACGGCGAAGTTGAGTTGATTCTGCCAGAACTGCATCGGGTTGTTGAACCAAGCATGAACTACCTTAGCGTTAGTCACCGAAAACCTATACAGGCCGAACACATCTATGAACTGGGCGCCGAAATACATCCCAGCAGCGACCACAATCTTCATGTGTGGGAAATCTATGTCCAGTTTAGGGTAAAACACTCCCGGGGAGTACATTTTAAAGTATTATATAATGAGTATATATACTCTAACATGTACATAACACTTCCAGGAATAACGAGCGGCGAGGCCGTTCAGCTGACGCACACGATCGATAACACGTTGGGTCAACTCGAAGTCGCACTCTGCGATATCACCTACCTACCGCGATGGACTAACATCAACGTCAACAACAATAAGCTGTTCGTCAGTGGAGCTCGCAGCCAGATAACTGACGGCTACTACAGCGTGTGCTCGCTAAGCGACGAGGTCTTCAAGCCCCTGGGAGCCGAACTCAAGATGAACGACTCAAACGGCACAGTGGTGTTAATCAACAACGGAAGAAACTCCTTGAGGCTCGGTCGACCATTGGCGAGGACACTCGGTATGTCGCCTGACGAGATAAAACCAACAACTACCGTCACAGGCACGAAGTTACCCGACCTAGTACCGTACCGAGAGCTGTACATTCATCTCGGCCAAGTGAGCACAACGTACAACATTCAAGGGGGTCACCCTTCCACGATACTGAGAGCCGTACCGGTGAAAACGGAGAAATACAACGACGGTAGAACCGAGTCGTTTTCACCGCGGCAGTATAAGAGGTTAACTCAGGGCAACATCCCTGAGCTGATAATATCGGTGTTAGATATAAATCATAATCCCGTGAATATAGGATACCTCAGCATAACGCTTCACATAAAATGACCAGCGCACAAGGCCCCGGGTTGAAAAAATGCATCAATGTGGGGATCTCCGACCTCGGGGACACACGCGGTTTCGACGCCCCGGAGTAGATGGTAAATTGTACGCCTTGCAACTGAAAAACAACATTTACAAACGCGTTGAAGTCCCCTCCGGTGGAGCCCTAGGTGATATAGTAGATACCTCAAGAGCGGTCGTCAACACTGGTGAGGATAAATGGATAGTATACCCATCATTCGGGGGCAAACTGTTCGACTTAGAAGATGTTGAGAGCACTACCGTTGCCCGAAACAAGTCATATACACTCGTCTTCACCGAAGGCGACTGGTTTCTCAATATTAAGCTCGGCTCCCCCTACGTGTTCACGGATAACAAAGACAACTACCTAAACAAAGTCGTGAACAACGGAACCCTGCTCGTGGCTTACGTCCCGGCTCAGAGGCGTAGCGTAGTCATCAGCCCAGTCGCCAGTATGGCAGCCCACATGCTATCGAGTAAACCGGGAGTGCAAGACGTGACATTGCAGTTGGTGTCTGAATTCGCTGGCGTGGTCAACGTCCTGGCGAGCCTACCGGAGAACGCCACTCTGATCATCAAAGTATACCTAGGGGAACCATCGCGGGATGAGGTCGAAATCGTGAAGGGGATCAAACTCGGGTGGGTGAAACGACACCAGTATCACGTTTGCACCGTTTACGTGCGGGTGGGTGTCGACTCCAAAACCAGTCTGCAGGGAGTCACCGTGATCGTGGAAGACACGATATCACTAACCAAGATCTTCCTACCCGACAACATACACTTCATGGGGTGAAGTGCACCCCTGAACTATTATCAGAAAACCAGTTGGAAACTATATCGTAATAGTATTATAGCAATGACCAGTCATCACCCCAACGCTACGCTTAACGACCTAGGGGACACGGAGGGATTCGATCAGCCTGGTGAGGAAGGTGGCTCATACGTCCTACACTTGAAAGACAACGTGTATAGGCGGGCGGCAATGGCCGATCATCTACCCAAAGCCACACTCGGTGGTCTAGGAGGCACGGAGGGGTTCAATAAGCATGGTTCCGAAAACACCTCGTACGTCCTATTATTTAAAACGGTGTGTAAATACGGCAGTCCCTGGTAGACTTAAAAGAACCCAAATAGTTGATCAACGTGACCCTCACCGCACCTTATATCTCACTAGACAAAGATGGCTATGTCTCTGAAATTAGGAACAACGGTATCTTGCTCACGTCTTTCATTCCAACTCATGATGAAAGGATGATAGTTTCTAAAACACCATATCGGCCGAGGGGCAACCTGTTAGTTTCATCCGGGCGGTCCCAGTTAATAGCCACCCACCCCGATACCATAGCAGGGGTTAGGGCTATGGTCCCAGACTCCACACTCATCATAGAAGTCGCTTTCAAGGGTAAGTTTGATGATTCGGACGGCTTTGACCCACCCCAAACCTGCAACTTTTACCTGGGGTGACCCCTCCACACCAGGTTTCATACCTTGCCATATCATAATACGATTGGGGCCCCAACTGGGATTACTACCCCCGTATTAGACTGCTTTAATGTTGATATAGACCAGAAGTTACCTATTGACCCTTCCTGTATCTCCACATACGAGAATCTAAGTTTTATAAGCCTTAGGTACGTTGATCGACTATTAACTGAAGCCCAATTAAAAAATATTTCATCAGATATATTATAGGCACACAGAATGGGTCTATACCCAGTCGTAGAGGAAGTAGCGAAGACCCTGGAAACCGTAGACGGGTTCCGCTTGAGACAGTTATGTGATGTAAAACGCCAACTAGAACAAGACCGCGACACGCGGAAAGCACTATATAAGAAGTACCATAGAGCTTTCAATGCTGTGGACGGACTGATACTGCCCTTATGACGACCAGCATGGGACTAGGTGCGGCAGGTGTTGGGTTGTTAGCTACCATCGTGGCTGCACCTATAGTTCTAGGCATTGAAATAACAGCTGGGGTGGCAGGGGTGTTAGGGTTGGTGCTTAAGTTTGCATCCCGCAGACTGCATCGTAAGGCATTGAAACACGATGAAATCAGGGTTCTGGCCGAAGCAAAGCTGAACACGGTAAGTGAGCGTATTTCCACGGCACTCACTGACAGTAAGATCTCAGAGGAGGAGTTTCGTTCAATCCTCTCTGAACTCACAAAATATAACAAAATGAAACAAGAGATTCGATCCAAGTCTCGTAAGTCTGCTATCAGCGAGGACGAGAAAAAAAAGTACATAGAACAGGGAGTACGAAAAGCCCAGCAAGCCTTTATTACGAACACCAAAGAGATCATAGGCGATTCACATTAAACTGTTTCATCGAGGTCAACGTGGCATAGCGGCACAGTAGTGCCACGTGTGGGCGGGAAATTAACGGGGGCTCAAAAGTAGTAGATACAATGGTGGCGAGATCTAAGGGCCTGACAAAAGCTTTATTTGTGAAATAAGGCTTTGCAGAGGCTTTTGTTGGACTTGATCCCGTACCGCTATTACATATACTACTTAAATGTTAAAGTAAATGGCTTAATAACAGTCCGTAATTGAATGTTTAAGCATAGGTACTGTAGTTATTTAAAAGCACCCACCATTGAGTGTTACATGAAACATAATGACAATGGTATCAAGGTCTCATCTTACCCAGTGATTCGCATTCAGTTCAAGTAGCTTGCGACATCGACATATTATTTTATAAACAACAGAACATATCCTATGGTATCCACAAAGATTGTAGTAATAATTTCCACCTGCGCAAACGTACCACTTTAAACTTTGTGCGATTTTAACATGTTCCATTGGCATCAGCTATTTGCGAGACAGATTTACTGCATCGTTAATCACAACATTCAGATTTTAAATGCGATGTGAAAATTAGATATATGTTTTATTTGTTACAATTTGGTTTTCCGTTGCGGGTATCATGTTACACATTATCCGAACCATTTTCCTTTAAACCGGCTTATGTAATAGCAAATTTTTTTGCTGTGGCGTAGCTGTAGTTCTTATGTGATGTAGTTTTTGTGAGGACACTGGTTTAGAGCCGGTGTGAAATACCCCTTTTGTTGTCAAGATGTGTCCTTAATGTACCTGTATTAATTCACACACAAAACTATACGTAATTCAATAAGAATATGAAAAGGATCGTAATCAGATATGTATAACACGTTTGAATTAATATTAAATAAATTCGATTCCGAAAGACCCTGGTTAACTGGCGACGTCACAAGATATATCCTGACGGGATGGGTGCCCATAGCCCTGTAATAGTCCTCAGCAGTGAAATCCCCTCCGTCCATAATTTGCTCCACTGGGGTTCCGGAATAATTGGACAGTTTAGCTGATAATTCCGATAGATTAAGATTTTGGGTTTCATTTCTTCCACTTGGAAAGAACAGTTTCGTAATTCTCTCTTTCATATCGCTGAGGCGGTCCTGTTTATGAAAGTCTATCTTGTGAGTGCCCCTCCCTTGTTTATGGTGACATTTCGAAACCGCTTTGATGGGACATGAAGTTTCCATCCCACATAAAATCGGTAAGTTTCCTGGCAGTCGGTCCTCCCAGGCTTGCTGCGGCGTTTACACGCATAAAGTTGCATCAACTTTTAACAACAGGCGATGTAGCTGACTCTCCTGGAAAAAGAAGAGAAGTGTGCAGAAGATAATTCGTATTGTTATATAACATGAACGTTTTTATTCATTTTCTTAGTTAACTAAACTTTTAAGAAAAAAGAAGAAAGGTGAGCATAGGACCATCAGCACGTTGATAGTTTGTAGAAGACAAAACTACAGTTTTTAAATACATTCTGTTAAAAACCACGCATTGTTTTATGATGTGATACATACGACAGCAACACACGTTAACTTGCAGATGAAAGTACGTCTGATTGGACGATGTTACGCCTTAATGGACATACCTGATTTCCTCATGAGATTCTCATTCGCATGTGGTTTGAACCGTTTGAGTATGCCACGTGCCAGAACCTTTGATATGGAATCTTACCTGCCACTAGATCCCGACACTTTGCCCGAATCCGCGCTCGGTCTCCTATACGGGTGACCCCCAGATCTATAAATTCAATCTCAGTGAGATTTATGATCTCCGACGGTGATATCTGTCAAAAATATTCAAGATTTATTTGACAACATCAAAACACGGGTTGTGAATGAATGTATGAATGCATGAATGCATGAATGAATGAATGCATGCATGAATGAACGAACGAACCAACGATGGACTTAATACTCAAACCTGGTTTTCTTGAAACCTAGAAAGAAGATGGGTCAGGCCAAGTTGTTGGAGAATTTCATCCATCCCTAAAATATGTTGAAAATGTTAAACAACCTTCTTCAGGACTTGTGATTATTCAACCCCTGTGCGAGGTATCAGTTCATAATCATACACCAGTTGAAGGTGACATGTTTGTCTCTATTATAAACCAGGGTCTGAGTTTCTGCTTTACACATACGCACACGGCACACACTCACATGTTTTAACTAACTGTATATATTCAACATGTGACAGAAATGTCATTACCTCCGTTCAAATATACAAATAAACTCATAACCTCCCAGCAAGTTAAAATTACCTTCAGTGAAAGGTGTGCACTGGCGCTTCGTAAAAAATGGCGTCACTCTGAACTATATACGATACGCGCATGCGTGAAATATAAAAAATTCTAAACACGACGTCGCCCTCGACGTCGCGCTCGACGTCGCGCGCGACGTCTCTTTTGTATTTTTGTCGTAGATCATTCTTGTGTATTTCTGCACGACGTCGTGGACGACGTCGTTGTCGACGTAGTGTTTTATGCGACGTCGTTATTTTTTACGCACCACGCGATGGCAATTATAGGACACCATACATTTTTTCTGGCCTGTGGCAGAGATACTATGCTGGCTTGCCGCACGGAACTCTGGGTAGGAGAGTGGGAAAATCCGCTTCAAGTATTATAGTTCCGCCTCCTATTCTCGCGGTAAACATATCTTCTGCCGATATCACCGATCAACTAGCAGTTGTTTACCTTGCCGACCGGTAACTTAATTGGCAGTGACCAAAGTCTGCGAGTGATCAAAATCTTGCAATGTCACGAGTATTGGTAAGTTTATACAGCTTGGACATGTAATTACTTTTTCCCGTTCTTTCCGGCAGGATTGCTCTTCCATTACACCCCATAACGTGACTATCGTTATACCGCGAGAATGGGAGAAGCCTCATTTCGTCAATGCGCATGGCATTGTCTATCACCGAGCTCACAAGTTATCATACACCTGATTGATCTAGCTGCTGATAGTTTTAGGCCTATATTTTCATCTGAATACGTCCCGTATTCGTATATTTGGAAGGCTGAAAGTGCTTGACACCCTGAATGTGTAAACATCGCCATGGTTACTGTTTTCATTGATGCAGGCAGGTTTGTTGCAAGCATCAATTGAACTTCCCTGAGCCCGGGGCGATGGGGTAGCCTAATGGTTAATGCAATTGCCCATCATGTCAAAGGCACAGGTTCGATGCCGCCATTGTGTACCAATGTGCGAGGCCCATTTCTGGCGCCACCCCGTACCCCCTCCCTCCTTGTGATATTGCTGGAATATTGCTAAAGGTTATGTAAAACTAAACTCACTCACTCCACTCACACAGAGTCCAAGGAGTGACAGTGGCCCAGCAGCATCCGAGACCAGTGTATTCCAGACTGAGTTCATCCGGAACCTCATCCGTGAAGCGCTGGAGGAGTTCCGAGAGGACATCCACCGAGACCTGCAGTTCGTCCACCTCGATATGCTCCGCCAGTTTCGACCCGTGAAGATCCGGGGTAGAACAGGTCTTCAGCAACCCATGTGCTTGCTATAAAAGCGACTATCTTGTCGTAAGAGGCGACTAACGGGATCGGGTGGTCAGTTTCGCTGACTTGGTTGACACATGTCCTCGGTTCCCAATTGCGCAGATCGATGCTCATGCTGTTGATCACTGGATTGTCTGGTCCAGACTCGATTATTTACAGACCGCCGCCATATAGCTGGAATATTGCTGAGTGCGGCGTGAAACTAAACTCACTCAATCACTCCGCCAGTTTCAGTTTCAGCAGGTGAGTTATCTCCCTTTAAATGGCACTCAGCATTGTACGGACTTATGTCTTCTCCTTCCGCAATGGTGAAAGTATTTTGGAATATGTCGTGAATTTTCCAAGAACATTTTTTTTAGAAATGAAAATCTTTTCATTATCTTCTTTTATGAGCTATGTATAGGTGAAAACTTTGTCTGATGGTCGAAATAATACCGATGCAGTGTAAACCTTTAACTCACTCGCTCACTCTTTCAGTAGTTGAGATAATTGGCTCTGAGGAGACTGAAACAGTTATCTTCATGCAATGCCTTCTGAAAAACAGGGCATTTCTAATTTCATGGCTCATGAATTTTCATCTTTTGTTAAACTCTGAGATCGCTTTGTATTTCAATCGTCATACTTCAGGGTTTGTACACATTGTTTCTCCGTCACCCTTGAATGCATACTGCCAAAATGCAATGTAACAGTGGCAGATATGTTAATGCAAAAGTCTGTTTACAGTTCATGCTTGTCGTAAGAGGCAACTAACAGGATCAGAGGGTCAGACTCGCTGACTTGGTTGACACATGTCATTGTATCCCATTTGTATATATATCTATATATGCTTATAAAGTTGATCACTGGAATTAGCCCAGCGGATAAGTGATCAAATTGTGCACTTTGTGTTACAAGCATGAAACTTGGCATGATTGTAGCTTATACCATTCTCTAACTGAATAAAGATCGAGACTATGCACTTTTCTCATTCAGTCAACCTAGATACAATTACACCTGATTGAGTAACATTCCATAGGGTGATGAGATAGCTACTTTGACATTGATGTTGTGTTGATTTTGATAAGTTTTCATAGGTGATCTATAACCAGTCAAGCTCATACATTATAAATGTAAGTAAATCTAATGATATATTCCTTAAAATAAACTTTCGTCTGTTCTCACAATATTCTAGTTAGATAATTTATGAGGATTGGAAATTGAGTTAAAGGAACATTTTTGGAAAATTCAATTTTTCCCCACTTTTTCCCCAAATATAAAAAAATTACAACAATCTGTGAGGCTTCTGGTATTGAATTTGCAAAGAAATGATAAAATATTTTAGATCATGGGATGATCTCATACTTATTTTACTGATGTACTCTATATGGCGGCCATTTTGCAAAATGGTGTGCGAAACTTGCCATTTTCAAGAATGACTTACTGATAGTAAGCCATCTTTCTTGATAGACATGACTCTACTGATAGTAAGGTTTTATCTGTCTTGTTTTAGACATGACTCTACTGATAGTAAGGTTTTATCTGTCTTGTTTTAGACATGACTCTACTGATAGTAAGGTTTTATCTGTCTTGTTATAGACATGACTCTACTGATAGTAAGGTTTTATCTGTCTTGTTTTAGACATGACTCTACTGATAGTAAGGTTTTATCTGTCTTGTTTCATGACTCTAGACTGTCTTGTTTTAGACATGACTCTACTGATAGTAAGGTTTTATCTGTCTTGTTTTAGACATGACTCTACTGATAGTAAGGTTTTATCTGTCTTGTTTCAGACATGACTCTACTGATAGTAAGGTTTTATCTGTCTTGTTTTAGACATGACTCTAGTAAGGTTTTATCTGTCTTGTTTTAGACATGACTCTACTGATAGTAAGGTTTTATCTGTCTTGTTTTAGACATGACTCTACTGATAGTAAGGTTTTATCTGTCTTGTGTTAGACATGACTCTACTGATAGTAAGGTTTTTTTAGACATCTGATAGTAAGGTTTTATCTGTCTTGTTTTAGACATTACTCTACTGATAGTAAGGTTTTATCTGTCTTGTTTTAGACTGAGGTACTTGGCATGTTGGAGCATCATTCAGTGAATCGGGATCTTGTAGCCGAAGTAGAAAGACTGAGAGAAGAGAACAGAACATTAAAGAAAAGCCTTTGAGAAGATATGTGTCATATTTTGAGTGACAGACAAGTTAAAATCAAGATCAACGGAAGTCTTTATTCAAATGTGAAGTCTGTGGGCCTCTATTCATGTATTGAAGAAAGATGTAGAGGACTTAGAGGTGGAATATTCTGTTGTGAGCTCATTGAGAATATCAGAATACCAGCTGAATTGTTTGACCGTGCCTCCAGGCAAACAAGACTGGATCTTTGCTGGGCGAAAGCAGACATTACCCCAGAACCCCTTCCCATGCAAAACAGACCATGATAATTGACTGGAGAAGTTCCTTCAGGATGTGCTAGTCTCTAACTCAAGACAAGAACAAGGTGCCATTAGTTGACTTCTTCATGTGACAGATACAGAAAATATTAATATATGGCTGAAGTAGCTCTGACTACAGACTCTGCCAACATCTTGCTTCCAAGACGACATATCGAATAAGGATATCCTGCCACTTTGGTTGTCCCAAGAGATTCCGTGAATGACGATTGATGCAGTGCCTGGGATCTTGAATACTGGCATGTTACAAGATCCTGTGATGTGCCACTATGTGAGGGGATCACAGTTCAGAGGGTTGTACAAGGGAGTTCCGTGCCCTAGACTTCCAGACGATGCTCTGTTCATGTGATAGACTTGTCTTCCACCTTCTGCCTTCAATGTTAAGTTTAATCAAAATGTGCCTGTTCAGAAATATGTAATGTTGTATTAGTTTGCTGTCTTTATTACACTTCCACAGACTGTTCTTCATGTTATGATGATATACATAGGAGACATGGACACAGAATCAATGAGGATTTTCATTGTCGAATGCTGAATTTGATATGATTTGACTTGAAGTTAGTAACAGGCAAGTCCGTGGTGGATTATGTTTAAGAGGTATTCAGGGGTGACTCACAGAGTAGATCAATTATAATTACGGAAGCAGAGTGCTGCAGTGATTACCTCTATGACAAACTAAGACGGTCTGCAAGAATCTCAACAAACGAATCATCAGCGATGAGATCAGATCAGACTTTCTGTGCTAACTTTTGATCGGGATGTTACGACAGGGAAGCTGTCTGATCAAAGATTTGCAAAGTGCGAGTAGTCAGTGTGATGTTTCACTGAATGAGCGAAATATTTTTATCAAGTTTCCTCGAGTTAAAGAAATCTTTATCAAAAGTTGAGTTGATCTGGAGATTCTATGAAAACAACATAAAGTTATGTCAGTATATAAAGTGCTTCTCTGACTGCCTATATGGATGATGTCATGTGTTATATTGTACATATTGGAACCTAATGCTTTTGGCATCCTCAAAATCTCCAGGGGTCTCATTT